CCGGGTGTTCTCTCCCTTTGACCGGCCTGGCATTAGTGTACACACACACACACACGCACACACACACACACATGCGCGCGCGCACACACACACACACACACACACACGCACACACACCCTTACCTCCACCTATCCGTGTGTTCCCGCCCTTTGACCGGCCTGGCATTAGCGTGCACCAGACGAGAGTCCCACAACAGAAGACTTCCAGCCTTGACCGGCACCCTCTTCCGTCTGCAGCCTGCGGTTGGGGGGAAAAGCAAGGACCTTAAAATTACAACAAACTATTACTATAACCTCCTTGGGTAAAAGTAAAATGAGTTTTACGGTTTTACGGCTTTTGTAACACAAATGGGCCATACATTAGTGCCATTGGTTTGGGTTGATCCTATTACACTTACAGTTACAGGAGAGTAACGTACAAGTTTCGAAGGAAGTACAGATATATATATATATATATATATATATATATATATATATATATATATATATATATATATATATATATATAATATTGAGAGAGAGAGAGAGAGAGAGATGGAGAGAGAGAGAGAGATGATAGAAGTTTGATAGGAAAGAAGGAGCAAACAGCAACAGAACCCCTCCCCACCCCACCCCACCCCAATCGGATGCCCTGAGTGACGTGTTGCGGGTGCGGGTTATGTTTTATTGTTATGAAGTCCTGATGAAGTGAGCAAGACTATCATTACTTACTTTTATTTATACGTTTTGCGTGCGTGATATCCCCACCCTCAGCACATCAAGTGAAATCGACAAAGTAACTAAGTGACCATATAATAATATGGAGGAGAATGGCGAGGTTCACTGATACGTGACGCTCGACTGCTGCGCCACTATGATCTCGCTATTGCGTAATCGACGAGGTTCGAAGGATCGAACATTATGCCACTTTGACTTTGGTGGATAGCGAGGTTCTTACAGAATTTAAAGTAAAGCGTATTTTCAAGCATTTGCACAACATGTAGGCCTACAAATGTAGTTTGAATCTGGATTTAATTTACGTCGACATTGCAGGAATATTTTGGTGCGCAGAAACAACGACAACAACAACAACAACAACAGCAACAACAACAACAATAATTTAAAAAATCCACAAAACCCAAAAAAAAGTAAAATATTTTTGCCAATATTCGAGTTAGCCGCGTTCTATCAGAGCTCCGACAATGTATGAAATACAATGTACATGTACAATTACATAAATTCAAGCATGCTTTCTTCAATCCAACAACTTATGAACCAACCTGCGGAGTGGAACCATTCTAAGTCGGCTTGCCTCATCCCGTAGAAGTCGGAAAGGGAAGAGCGCATGGCGGCTTTCTTGTTGTGGCAGTAGAACTCGGAGTGGTACTTGTGAGAGCCTTCTAGCATCTCGAACGTCCAGTCGTCGTGGTCAGCCTGGGTGGGATTTGGTTTGTGGGGGGGGGGGGGGGGGGGTTAGGAGGAAGGGTTCATCATTGTTAATGTTTATAATTATATCGTTTTTATTATCGGCATCTCCATCTTTGTAATAAATTATTTATATATTATATTGAATTGAAAAGTTCCCAAAAGTAGGATCCATCATCATCATCATCATCATCATCATCATCATCATCATCATCATCATCATCATCATCATCATCACCATCATCATCATCATCACCTTCATCATTATCATCATCATCATCATCATCATCATCATCATCATCATCATCCCCATCCTCATCACAAACACTCGGAGCCTGTGTTTTTTAATCGTTGTTGAGCGCTTTATTAATGTTATAATAGATGTAACGTTAATTACTAGATTTAATACATATTGATACTTTGCTTTTGCCATACAGAAAAATAAAAAAATAGAAGGAAGTTAGTATGCTTACCGTTTCTAGATAGACCGCCCCTTGATAGGCGTGCAAACTCTCTCGCCCCGCCCCCTGATCCACGTGTAGCCAATGCTGATGCTCGCTGTCGAATTCTTCCACGCCCTTCTCTGGTGGCTGGCCAATCGCCACAGCGTCTACACTCGTCAACAAGCGAGTTGTGCCCCAGAGGGCCTCGAAGAATTTCTTCACCTGAAGAAGCAACATAATAATAATATATAAAATATGCATAAACACACGTAGACTTATTATACTTATTTATTATGTACATCTCTAAATGCACACACATATACACATGCACACACACACGCACAAACACACACACACACACACATACACACTCATACGCACACACAGACACGGTCTCTCACTCGAGATCACATACACAGACACAAACACACACACACACACACACACACACACACACACACACACACACACACACACACACACACACACACACACACACACACACACACACACACACACACTTTCAATTTGTGTCGACGATGGGGTGTGCAAAAACAACGAGATCTAGATCTACAAGAAAAAACCAAACCAAGCAAAACAAAACAAAACAACAACAACAACCCCAAAACGTACCTGCAGCCGAGCTGACCAGGCGGGTTCCAGGTGGCCGACATGGTAGTGTCGCACAATGGAATACTGACTGTATGGAGTTCCCCCCTCCCCGAACATGTCTGTCATCCACTGAAAGAAGGATGCCTTGAGCTCTCTGTGGTTGGGCACTGCGTCCTCTATAACCGTGTAGCCCTTGTCTTCTAGCTCATCTCTGTGTCTGGCCGTGAAACTCATTGCTGAACAAATAAATGGAAAATAGAACGAAATTAATTATTATTATATTTTATTGATCCTCGTGAGGAAATTTGGAATACAATGCCAATCATACATCCTTAGTTTATAGCCATAAATCACATCAAACATGATACAAAATTGTGCATACAAAGATTCCCAAATACACAATATCCACACCAATGGCTAGCTTAGAACAGTTTTACAAACACGCTAGAGATATCTATTATTGCTAGATCTAGTCCCCACTGTGGGGTGCGGAGAGCCTCAGGTTTTGTTGTTGGTTTGTTTGGAGATGTTTTGGGGTTGTTTTGTGCTGTTGTTTTTTTCCTTTGTTTTTTTTCTTCTTCTAAAAGCAAGGGTTGTCGTGTCTTGTTAACCCATCTGAACCACCAATACTTGCTTCGTTTTACTTTGTTTTGTTTTTTTAGCACAAATTTATAACTCTCTCTCCCTCTCTCTCTCTCTCTCTCTCTCTCTCTCTCTCTCTCTCTCTCTCTCTCTCATAGAAAAAGAATAGCCGAGGAGACGAGGACAAGAAGCCTTTGCTGATTCCACAACCTCGAAACATGAACGCTGTTGTTGTTGTTGTTGTTCTTGTTGTTGTTGTCGTTGTTATTGTTGTTGTTGTTGTTGTTGTTGTTGTTGTTGTTGTTGTTGTTGTTGTTGTTGTTGTT